TGTGCGATTTACACAGCGCTCGGTTCGTAAAGCACTCTTCTCCCTGGACGTCAGCAAGTCGAGTGGGCCTGATGGAGTCCCTCCCATTGTGCTGAAGACGTGTGCTCAAGGCGGGCCCAAGGCGTAGTCCCGAATCAATGGAAGACAGCTTTGGTCCACCCGATCCCTAAAAAAGTCGACCGCTCAGACCCTTCCAACTACAGGCCTATCGTTATAACCTCCTTGTTCTCCAAAATAATGGAATCCATTATAAATTGCCAGCTCATGAGGTACCTTGAGGATCACCAGCTGATTAGTGACCTCCAGTACGGTTTTCGTCGTGGTCGATCAGCTGGTGATCTTCTGGTCTACCTGACTCATAGATGGGCGGAGGCCGTAGAGTCCAAGGGGGAGGCATTGACCGTTAGTTTGGATATAGCGAAGGCCTTCGATAGGGTCTGGCACAAAGCGCTTCTTTCGAAGCTTCCTTCCTATGGGCTTCCCGAGAAATTGTGCAAATGGATCAGCAGTTTCCTAGCAGATCGGAGCATCAAGGTCGTAGTAGACGGTGCATGCTCTGATTTCAAGCCCATTAACGCTGGTCTTCCACAAGGCTGCGTGCTATCACCAACACTGTTTCTCCAGCATATCAATGATATGTTTCTAACTGATAGCATTCATTACTATGCAGACGACAGCATTGGTGATGCCTTATATACCGGCCGTGCCAATATTTCTCGGGACAACGTCGCTGAGTACCGGGACAAACTTGTGTCTGAAGTCGAGTCTTTGCTTAACAAAGTCTCGGATTGGGGCCGACTAAATCTAGTCCAGTTCAATTCCCAGAAAACACAAGTTTGCGTGTTTACCACTAAAAAGATCCCCTTTGTCGTATCACCTCAGTTTCAAGGCACTCCCCTTGCTGCCTCAGCTAGCATCGGAATCCTCGGCATCGACATATCGAATAGTGTGCAGTTTCGTGGTCATTTGGAAGGGAAGGCCAAACTGGCCTCTAAAAAGCTTGGCGTGCTCAGCAGAGCGAGACAATATTCGACACTTTTACAACTTTACAACTTTACAAAGCGCAAATCCGGCCTATCCGGCCTGGAATACTGTTCTCATCGCTGGGCTGGGGCACCCCAGTGCCAGCTCCTTCCACTTAACCGCATCCAGCGCAGAGCGGTTCGAATCGTCGACGCCCGAGTTCTTTCTGAACGATTCGATACACTGGCACTGCGTAGAGATATCACATCTCTTTGCGTATTTTATCGCATTTACCACGGGGAGTGCTCTGAGGAATTGTTCGGACTAATTCCAGCCGCTCAATTTCACCATCGCACATCGCGACAATACTTGCGATACCATCCACACCACCTGGATGATTGGCTGTCCACCACTGTGCGATTTAGAAGATGTTTTCTTCCTCGCACAACTTCCTTGTGGAATCGATTACCACCAGCGATTTTTCCGGACCGATACGACTTAGGGTCCTTCAAGAAAAGAGCCTACTCCTTTTTAAAAGGCCGACAACGCTTCTGCAATTTCCCTGATGTTGCGGTTGTTCATGGGCGGCGGTAGTCACTTACCATCAGGTGAGCCGTATGCTCGTTTGCCCCCTCTCCTATAAAAAAAAAACACTTACCATCAGGTGGACTGTGTACTCGTTTGTCACCCTATCCTATAAAAAAATTTTACATATTTAATAATTTAAAAAAAAACAAGATTTTAATTTCTTACGTCGTAATATACACCATAGTTTCATTTTATTGGGTTCCATAAGTTTCTTCTCGATGGTTTTCCTTAAAATCTATCGTCTAAACGTATTTTACATGTCGAAGCTAAACCTAATCCGACGTGTTATGTCCACCTTTATTGTTCTCTTTAAAAGGCCGGCAATGCACCTGCAATTCGCCTGGTGTTGCAGTTGTTCATGGGCCGCGGTAGTCACTTACCACCACATCACATACCAGGTGAGCCGCATGCTCGTTTGCCCCCTCTCCAATAAAAAAAGTCTAGGATTACGTCTGAACAAGTAACAAAACTGTATCTAAATCAGTCAAAGCGTTTTGGAGATAAATGGCAAAATTCGTTTGCACAAATATGCTTATTGCAGCTACCCCTGGTGAACTAAAACCATATGGACTATCTAAGAACCATCGCCAATGAGTCACAAACCCTTTACAGAAAACCGTATCTCAATCGGTCAAACAGTTTTGAAGATAAACGGGAACATTCGCCACTCCTTTGCTTATTTATTCATTCTTCTCCATTACCAGCCCGAAAAAAAAAACTTGACAGCTCCGTGGCTCAGCAATGAATTAATAAATTAATAAGAAATTAGCTGTGGGCCGCGGTTTCGAACACAGCACGCATCAAGTATTTTTATGGCCTACAAGTAATTATTCCAGTTCTGGATGTCCTTGTGCAATTTATGTGTGTAAACTGATTCCACGATACAGGAGAAAATCCTAGTTTAGAGGTCACGCTCTCATTACAAAAAAACATCTCGCAATCTTCACTGCTGGACGTAGGCGTCTCCTACTAAAGGTAAGATTTGTTTTAATCATCATTTGGCAAGTGGATTGGCCCATTACCTGACGTGAGCACCCTTGAAGCTAGTGCTCTATGATCGTCGCTAACTTAGTATCGATAGAGGCGGAGGCGCACTTATTATATTGCTTTTGTTTCATTATTTTTTATTGTGTTTGTTAAATAAATGTTTTTTGTATTGTAAGAATAAAATATAATATATTTATATATATTTTCTTATGCTTATTGTAATAAAATACGAAAATAAATAATAAAAACAAGTTAGGTGGCAAAGCACCTTTCACTACGGCGCTTCGTTTAAAAATGCCAAATTTTCCTTCGGGTGTACGCGGCACGTGGCTACCTTTGATGTCTCGGCGGCGCCTTTGACAAAATGCGGCACGTGCCAGCGGCGCGACACAAAGGCTACCGTATCTAAGCGAACAGACTACATTTATAGGGCCAGGTATCAGAAGTCATATCACCATCTACTCGAATGTCCCATAGTAGCCTATTGTGGCACCCAAGAAACGAAATGGATTGATGGATTATTTTACGCCGACACCATACGGCTTTTTTTTAGGATACGGTGACAAACGAGCACACAGTCCACCTGATTGTAAGTGGTTGCTGACCCATAGGCATCTACATCTATCTTACTATTGCGAATCAAAATGCAGATGCGTTGTCACCCGTGAGGACTAAGATGGAATGCCATTTTTCCAGCAAAAAGGGTTTCCGGTTCTCTACTCTCACCATACGAAACACAACAGTGTTAAGATGCTATTTGACGCTAGTATTCTTTGAGAGCGTGGTCCTTCCCCGGTCGAGCCGACCCATTCGTGCTACAACTATACTACTACTACAGCTGCAGCATGGCTCTACCACGTACAATTCAAATTAAAAAAATTCTGCCACCCAGCATATCAATTGAGTACACTGCTGCGTTTTGTTTAAAAGTATGAGAGCCTGTTAAAGTACAGGCTGTGAAGCATCACATCTTTGTCCCAAAAACCTTGCTTTATGCACATTCCTGGAGTGAGCCACGCTGTAACTTTATGATGCAGCACGAATGGGTTCACTCAACTAAGAAAGGACCACGCTCTCACTGAATACCAGCGAAAAATAGCAGCATTATGCTGCTGTTTCGTATGCCGAGTGTAAAGAACAGGAGTCCCTTTTTACTGGTAACGATGCTATCTTAGTCCTCGGGGGCGATAACGCATCTACATTTTGATTCTTCATCAATGATAGATGTAGGTGTTTATGGCCGTGTATTCACTATCAAGTATACTGTGTACTCATTTGTCTCATTATTTTATTAAAAAAAATGAAGTCAATAGATTATTTGAAGAGGATGCTCAGAGGAGTCAGAAAGTGAATCCTGGCTTAAACCAGAATAAAATTCTCTAGGAAACACTGCAAACCAGTGTTATATACAATAGTTGAAGGTACCGAGCGGAAAGTTTTAGCAATTTAACACTTTTCAAACAAAAATAAAACTGCGAAACCTACTAAAAATTTATATTTATTACCACAAATATGTTTTTAATATCTAATATCACAGTAATCAGTCGTGACGTGATTCAATAGTGTTGCCATTTACGAGCTACACACTTCCAACTAAATTATTGGGTACATTTTACTGAACAAAATTATTCTAAATACAGTAAACAACTGACATGCATATTTCATATAATTTGAATATTATAATACCAAAATTCAATTAATTACACCGAAAATCACTAGGTCACATTTACCCGTAAAATATAAATATGACTTGCCACCTCTTGAATTGAATAACTATATTATACATTTTAGAAAAAATTTATTCTATAGCTTCAAAAAATATTAAAGTGGTAAAAATCTATGGCAAATTATTGTAATTTATTACTTTATATACGTACGTAATTGATTACTGTTGCAAACAATATTAAAAAACTTATATTTTAATATTATAGCACTTTCAAATTATGATAATCTAATATTTTCCCGAAGAATTAAAAAGTAAGTTCATAATTAAAATATATATATATATATATATATATATATATATATATATATATATATATATATATATATATATTTCTCTTTACATCCTCCATAACGTCTGCAGGTAAAAATTCGGTAGTGTAGAGTTTTATAAAATCCAACAGAACTATAATAATAATAATCATTTAAAAATAAAATTCAAAAGGTACCTTTTACGATATTACACTTTTATCGTGTACCAAAGTTAACGATTATTATATATAACCGTTAGTTATATAAATTATACAAGCGGTTTAAATGTAAACTATGTCCTGTAATCAAATTAATAAAGACAAAGGAATCAAAATTAATTTAAAATATTTCTTTACAAAAAAAAGGGAATTGTATCGTTAACTTGGTAGAACGTCAATAAAAATTCACATAGCTTGTATAATAATGTTCAAAATTAGCGAAAAAATTAAAACGTGATTCAATAAATGAATGCGTTTACAAGTATATCTTTACATCATCTCTAAAATGTAAATAGACAGAATAAAAATAACCACCCTAATTCTAATCCACAAGTAATCAAAGAATTCTATAAAATCTTCATTAAATATGTATTCGTAAAAATCACTGCCTACTTGTGATTTTATTTCTGTATGGTTCGAATTTATACTAAAATCTTCATGAAAATCTTTAGAAAAATCACGCCCAAAAATACCAAATTTCAGCATATTTTTTGCGTCTGACAACTCAACTGCAACTGTTTGAATATCTTCGACAGACTTTGTGTAAAACACGAGAGTGTGCGATTGAATTGACGTGTCAGTTGTCAAAATCACAGGAAACTGCACTGAATGTCTCGTAAAGTTTCCTCTAACTGACAGCTTTTCAAATGTAACGTTGATGTTATTTTCTAGGCTGTAAGAAGTAAGAATTAGTTAGTGCATCCATGTGACTTTATTCATAATTTATTGCTTTTTTAAAGCATCCGACTAAATATCATATAACCAGATGGATTTTTTAAATATATTTTGCACAAAATGGTGGGTATCAGTGGATAATGAGAGCTTTCACAACTTTCTCTGCCATCAAGGCGACCCCACATTCACGGAGGCAAAGGTCTTAGATCATACAGCCTATTCTGACGTGTATGTCGCCCACAAAATTCTTCACAATATGCTCATACGTCACATTGTGAAAATAATTTTAAGAAAATTATGACAACAGCTTATCGAATAAAAAACTTTAAATTTTTATTCCCATTTCAGCACTTGTTGCATTGTTTCCAATAACAGTTAACATGCGCAGGCACATAACCTACACAAAAACTTACCACTTCCATATCAAAATACTTTGAAACTATTATTCAAGCAGTAATACAAGAGCAGCAGCAAAAATTCCGTGCACAAACTGAATATAATTTTGGTTTTAAATATGTATTCTTTGAAAAATTTATAAGTAACTCACCTAGGAACACAAGTACGTTTATTGAGAGCCGCGCACACTAAAACCTTACACGATTGAGCTCCAATGTAATACGAGCCCATTTGTCGAGTTCCATCGAACACAGACAGGCCGTAGTGTGCATCACTCGCTTTTGCATCTAAAATGGATATGGATAAATTAAATTAAAAATATACAGTGATAAAAGTATAGAGAAGTTTTGAAATCACTCTTGACGCAAAGGTTCAGTGGGGTGCCAATATAATCTACTAGCGGTTCGCCCCAGCTTCGCTGTGGTGGTATCTATTAATGTCATTTAAACCATTAAGATTATTTCTAAATAATCATCGACGAACATTTATTTTATAAATTTTTCGATTTCACAAGCAATATTCAAGCTTTTTGGATAAAGTATAACCTAGATTACTCATGGCGTTGTTTTTTTTTCGTTTGTGAAGTTCTATCACAATCGGTTTAACCATTCAGAAGATTAGGCTGGACAGAGAAATAAAAATTTATTTGAGTTTTTCTACCGACTTCAAAAAGGGGGTGGTACTCAATTCGATTGTGTGTTCTTTTTTATGTGTGTTACCTCATAACTTTTTTCTGCGTGACCCGATTTCGATAGTTCTTTTTTATTTGAAAGCTGGTGCTTCTCATGTGGTCCCATATAAATTTGATCAAGGTCTGGTCAATAGTGTTTGAGTTATTCTTAATAATTTATATTGAAGTCATTTCTTTCTGATCGGCTCGATACACTGGCGCTGCGTAGGGATGTTGCATCCCTTTGCATTTTCTATCGAATCTACCATGGGGAGTGCTCTGAGGAATCGCTCAGATTAATTCCAGCCGCTAAATTTCACCATTGCACATAGCGACAAAACTCGCGATACCATCCATACCATCTGGATGACTGGCGGTCCACCACTGTGCGATTTAAAAGAAGTTTTCTTCCTCGCACAACTTCCTTGTGGAATCGACTACCACCAGAGATTTTTCCGGACCGATACGACTTAGAGACCTTCAAGAAAAGAGCTTAAACCTTTCTAAAAGGCCGGCAACGCATCTGCAATTCCCCTGGTGTTGCGGTTGTTCATGGGCAGCGGTAGTCACTTACCATCAGGTGAGCCGCCTGCTCGTTTGCCCCTCTTCTATAAAAAAAGTCGGTTGTATAAATTTTATAATTTTAAATTATCGGATTTCAAACTTTTTTAAGGAGCACACAGTTCACCTAACGATAATTGGGTATTGTGGTCCAAAGACAACTTCATTTACTTTTACTCTCGAGTAATAATAAAAAAGCAGATGTATACAACAATCACTTACCAATTTCTTTTGTCTTCAGATAAAACTCGCAGCAGAATTTCCCGTGACACACGACTTCTCTGTACCCTTGGATGCTAGCTTCCAGATCTAAAGGCCTGATGATATGTTGGCTCATATCCTCCGTTGGGAGGTCTCGTAAATCGACTGGATTTAGGGATAACCTTTCCGATTTCTCTGTAATTACATTTATTACATTATTATTACTTTCATGTCTGAAATTTTTCCGCCAATAAGCATTGATAGCGCTATGGACTCGTTAGTGTTGCCCAAAATCGGTCTCGATCTTGCTGTCTTGGTCTTGTTCTTGCATTTTTGCAAGACCAAGACCAAGAACAAGACCGCCTATTTTTAGCAAGATCAAGACCAAGACTGACCGTGCAAGATTTGCGCAAGAACAAGACTAAGCTTGCGAGACTCTTGCATCTTGCCGTTAGGACTACTGAATGTTTCAGGGAGTATAGGAGTTCGAGTATACGCTTAGGGACTCTATGAGACGCAAAAAAGTACAATAAAAAAAATGTAAAACTGGACTTATGCGCATTACGAACAATACCATAAACATACATAGCGAATGAAAATATCCATTGAAAGTAAAAAGAGTGCATCCCTAGGTTTGACCATCGGCACTTTGATAGTGCGCGGCGTCTTGTTGTCGGCGTCATCAAAGGTCGGATACTGACCTGTCAAAGAAATTGTGCAGCTATTCGAAAGTACAAGGTCAACATATACACGTGCTGGTGGCTACTATTGATATCGCATACAATCGTCACCGCCGCGCCACACGCACTACATTTAACACTGTTTGATTGCCGCCACAGAGTACATGTTCCAAAGAATAAAATAAGTTTCCGGGTGCTCAGAATGGACCCGAATACATTATGCTAATCTCGCAAGGAATATTGTAATTAGATAATGGTAAGGATAAGTAGATATCATAATAATTTATTCTAGTAAGTAATTATTATAAAATTAACTATATGGGTTTATAATAATTACTTACTATTATTATTATTATTTTTGATTTTATATTCTCGGCAAGCCGGGAAGAGCTAATAACACGGGCCTAAGCCAAGTGATTATCAGTTGGATTAAATACGGTAGAAGATTGCACAGAAAATGGTGGTGTATTTGTGTTTTGATCTGGGTTTTCTGGTTCACATTGCAGAAACTTTCTAACAAGTCTACATGTGTTTAGTATCGCGGCCTTCTGCAGTAGATGATAGATATTTGTAGGTAAGTTGAGGGAATTAAGGGACTCTTGGAGTTGTTTCGGTATTACTCCTGTTGTAGACAATACTATCGGTACTATTGTAACTTTTTGCAGATGCCAGAGTCGGGCTACTTCATCTTTTAATTCAGTGTATTTACTCAGTTTTTCTGCTATTGTTGTCTGCAAGTTATGGGTATTTGGTATAGCAATATCTATTAAATATCCAGTTTTGTTTATCTTGTTTATAAGTGTAATATCTGGTCTATTGAAATGGATTGTCCGATCGGTAAGAATGACGCGGTCAAAATATAGTTTTGTTGAGGGGTTCTCTAATACAATTTCTGGATTGTATTTGTAGTATGGTGTAACGGAATCTATAAGTTTGTACTGGTGTGCTAATTTTTGGTGTATAATGTTGGCTACTTGATCGTGTCTATGTTTGTAGTCTGTTTGGGTTATTGACTTGCACGCGCCTGTTATATGCTGAATCGTTTCTGGAGAGCTATGGCATTTCCTACATGTGTCATTACTTAAATTCTTTATGATAAACTTTCTGTAGTTTTTGGTTTCAACTACCTGATCCTGTATAGCAAGCATGAACCCTTCAGTCTCCGGGAAGAGTTCGCCTCGATTTAACCACGCGTTCGACGCCTCTTTGTCGACATTTATCTGGCATAAGTCTTGGCGATGTCTTCCATGTAGAGATTTCTACGTCCATTCTAAAAGCTTGGTTTTGTCCTCAATTACTTTCTCATTTTTCTGTTCAGTTGTATCTTTTAAATTTAGGGGTGTTAAGTTTTGGTCGTTCTGTGATATAATTTTATGAAGAATAGAGGTTTCGCTTTTTGAGAAAAAGAATTGTCTGAGTGCTTTTATCTGTCTGTTATGTAGGTTTAGGATATCAATTAGTCCTCTACCTCCTTCTTTCCGTGGCAGTGTTAATCTCTGCAGACATGATCGTGGGTGGTGTTTGCGGAATTTGGTCATTGTGGTATTAATTTTTCGTTGAAGGTTTTTCAGATCGGTTTTGGTCCAATTGATTATCCCAAAAGAATATGTGAGAACTGGTATAGCGAAGGTGTTGATTGCTTTGATTGTATTTCGAGAATATAGTTGCGTTTTCAGAATTGTGTTTAGTCTATGTTGAAATTGTAGTGTTAGTTTTTGTTTAGTTTCTTTATAGTGTATCTGTTGTGATTGTGTGTAGCCAAGGTATTTATAACTATCTTGTTCCTCTAATGGTTCTATCTGTTCTCCTGTTCTTAAAGTGTATTGGTGTTGGTAATTCTGTCCTGCTCTAATTGAATTTATTTTACATTTATCTATGCCGAATTCCATTTTAATATCGTTTGAGAATTGTTCTGTCAAGTTTGCTAGTTCACAGAGTTGAGTCTCACTTTTGGCGTATAATTTGATATCATCCATGTACAACAGATGATTTAATTCTATTGTTTGAATTTCATTTTGTCCTTTGGTAGTTGTATTTTTTAACGGGATTCCTAAAGTAGTTGCGTTTAATATATTAGATAGGGGATTTAGAGCAAGACAGAACCACAGTGGGCTTAAAGCATCTCCCTGAAAGATCCCTCTCTGAATTTTCATTGGGATGGTTTCTACTATTTTACTGGGCGAAGTTAGTCTTAATACAGTGGTCCAAGTTGTCATCATGACCTTCAGGAATGTTACTATAGTTGGATGTATTTTGTATATCTCTAAAACTTTTACAAGCCATGAATGGGGAACAGAGTCGTATGCTTTTTTGTAGTCAATATACATACTAAACAAATCGGTTTTGCTTTTTTGTACTTTTTGAAGGATAACTGAGTCTATGATTAATTGTTCCTTGCAGCCTTGGCTGAATTTGCGACATCCTTTTTGTTGTTCGGCTAAGATATTATTAGTGTCGATGTGTTGATATATTAGTTCAGATATACAAGATGTGATAATTTTGTACAAGGTCTGCAAGCATGTTATTGGTCGGTATTTTGCTGGATTTGAGAGATCATTACGATCTTTAGGTATCATAAAAGTTGTACCTGAAGTTACGTAGGACGGTATTGTTTTAGGATCCTGTATGAAAGTATTTATGTGATTATAGAGAAAACTATGGGTAGATGTAAATTTTTTGTACCAATAACTATGAATGTTGTCTGAACCGGGTGCTTTCCAATTATGTAAACGAGAAAGTACTTTATGGAAAATTACTGGGGATATGTGATCAAATGTCATTGCTTGAATATTTGTGTTGCTGTTTGTCAGTTCTGTTTGTATCCACTCTGCTTGGGCGTTATGTTCGATTGGTTGTTCCCAAATTCCTGCCCAGAAGTTTTGTAACGTCTCTGAGTCAGGGTAGTTATGATCAGGGTTGTTATCCTGAACGTTAGATGTCGCCTGTCTAATATTGCGGTAGAAGAGTTTTTCATTGTGGGTGAATTGAATGTTTTGTAGTTTTCTTTGGGCACAAGCTTTGTATCGTTGTAGTCGGCCTGCTACGACTGACAGTTTTTGTTTAAGAGTGTCTAATGTGTGAGCTGCTTGTTTATTTGGTTCTTCATGAGCAGTGTGGATTCTATATTGTTCTAGTATCTTGTTAACGTGTTTAATTATTTTCCTACTTCTATTGCCATTGATGAATTGTGTCATTTGTGCTATCTTTGAACGTAAATCATTTAATTTTCGTTCTAATCGCGTCTCCCAGTTAGGTTTATATTCTTTTTTTGCCCTTTGGGTGACTTCTCTTGGTTGAAGGGTTATCTTTGCTCCGTTAACTTTTGCCGCAGTCCATGCCGCACAATATATAGTAGTTTGTAAGGTGTAGAAGTCAGTTTCTTTGTTAACGTTTTCTGGTAATATTATTTTGTTTAGGTAGGTAACTATACGCGCTAGTTTTTTAGAAGGTTTTTGTTTAGGAATAAAAAATCTTTTTGTAGGGCTAGTTTCTTTAAAATATTGGAATGCTTGTTGGAACGTCTCATCTATTAGTGGATCCCTATCTAGGATTGCTTGTGGGTTAGGTTGTATTTCTTCTGCAATGTTGATTTCAGTATGATTTAAAGTAAGTGAAGGTTCTTGTGTTGAGCTGAAGTCAATGCTGTTTACAAATTGAGTTTCAGAATTACTGTTGCGGTTTGGGTTTACTAGCGTCGTTTCGCTTGTAAAGTTGGTATAGTTAAAATTATGTAGCCGTAATTCTTCAGATACTTCTAGTTTTAATGAATTTAATCTGTCACTAGTGACGTAATTATTGTTCACAATTGCTCTCCTTTGATCAGCTATTCGTTGTTCGTTAAGATGAGCAAGTGCAGGAAATCTGTTGATAAAATCTTCATACATGCGTCTTCTATATGCTGTTTCGTTTCTGCCTAAATCTGTAACTCGATAATAAGAACGCATTATAGCTTCATTTAGTTCACTAGTCCATCTCATTCGGGTTTGCGTTCTATTTTTAGTACTATGTGTTTCTGGGGTTCTAGGTTGCATTTTGATAGATTGTGTGAGTGTAAATATTTGTTGTACATGGTCGATAGAGTTATGTGACTGTTGGGTCGAATGATTCAACTGTAGACGATCTAACTCTTCTTTTACGTCGTTTCGTATCTCTTCTATAGTTTTCTGTGGAAGTAGTTTATTGTTTATTATGGCTCTACGTTGGTCTCCTATTCTCTGTCGACTAACCTGCATGTTCGGGTATTTTTCTATAAATTTTATGTGGAGTGGTTCAAGATAAGTTTTTCTGTCTATATCTAGTGCAGTCAATTGAAGGTAAGTGCGCAGTATGAACTTATTCATTTCAGGTGTCCATCGTCTGCGCGTACTTGAGGCGCTTGTAGTGGGTGCAGGCTTAGAGTCAAGGTTGACTTCCTGCACAACACTATCAAGCGTGCTGGTGGTGGACAAGCTAACTGATTTTCTTGTCACGTAAGAGGGTCGAGTCGAAGGGATGGATGAAAATAATGAAATAGTA